CATCCACCAACACCACCACCTACCACCACCACCACCGCCGCCACCCACCTGCTCGTTCATGAGGCGCAGCAGCGCAAAGGCGGCGGAGACGAGGCACGTCACATCAGACAGCCCCGGGGGAGGTATGTGCATGGAGGCGTTGCGGTTGTTGTAGACAAGGTGCGCCAGGAACCGGCGCAGGTAAGGCCCTCGGGGCGCCTGCCCCTGCGCGTCACCGCTGCCGGGCTCCAGCCACAGCTGCAGCAGCAAGTCGGCCTGGGCCGCCTCCACCTGGAGCCATCCAGGCAGGCAGGCGGGGGCAGGGTGGGTGTTGCGGCGCCGCACATGCGACAGAGGTAGCATCCTGCCAGCACGAGGGCGCAGCCGTGCACTGCAGTAACCCCCCAACCCCGCACGTTTGATGCCACCACCACAGCCGCAGCCAAACACCCCCCCCCAAACCCACCTGCTCCAGCCCCTCCGTCAGCTTCCCCAGGTCCTTTGCAAACAGGCTCTGGTCCTCGCGGCGGTTGCGCACCACGCCCGCCCCCTCCTCGCTCCATACCACCTTCAAGTTGCACAGCAGCTGCGGGTAGGGCAGGGGAAATGGAAGGGCACAGGGGTGGAACAGCAGGACGGTTGTGAGCAGCAGCATGTGTGCGCCAGGAGCGGGGTGCATGCTCTGGTGCAGCCCTGACGCACCAGCATCCATAAGCAAGCCCGCCCGGTGTGCCTGGTGCTGGGCCGGTGGTCCCTGACCAGCTGGGCACCCCCCCCTGCACACACCTCAGTAAGGTCGTCCTCGCTGGGCTGCCACACCGTCAGCAGCTGCTCCAGCTGGTGCTCCCACTGGTCACTGGCCAGCCAGGCTGCAGGGCAGGCGCGATACCGATGTGGGTGTGCTGGTGTGGGTGACAGAGGGCATGTTTATCGCTGGCTGTCGACAGGGTGCGGCGCAGCAAGTTGCGAGCGGCTCACCCACCTGCCCTGACGTCTGCGCAATCCAGCATGGCGCCCCAGAGGCGCAGCGCGCTCAGCGCGGCCGAAGCGGGCATGTCGACCAGGCTCCACACGCTGCCCCGCACCCGCCTGGCCAGCACCTGCAGGGAGAATAGCAAGCCGAGGAGCGGTGCTGCTTCGTCAGCCGTTGTGTGCCCAAAATGCCCTGCACGTGCACCCCAGAGCTGACGGAGGGGCACAGCTGCCATGTATGCTGACCTGGCAGCAAGTGGAAGCCAGGGCAGCAAGCTCCTCAGCCTCCAGCACCGCCGCCAGCAGATCCAGCAGCTGCTGCAGCTGCTGCCGGCCCAGCTCCTGGCAGTCGCCCACACCGTGAACCGCAGGCACGGCCGCCGGCTCGCCGCTGGCGCCGACGGTGGCCGCGGCGGTGCCGTAGAGCGCCCAGCCGCTGGCTGCCCACGCATCCTCTGCTGCACGCTCGCCGTCTCCGCCGCTGGCGCCGCCGCTGCCGCTGCTGCTGCCGCTGGCCAGCTCGCCGGCGGTTTCATCCAGCAAATCCACCAGTACCGTCTCCACTATGTACCGGTCCAGGCACAGCGGCCCCAGATACTGTGCCAGCACCGCGCCCAGCAGCACCCTGTCGTCCATGCGAATGGCAGGGCCGCCGCCGTCTGCCGCCAGAGACGGCGCAGAGGGCGCGAACGGCAGGCCTGCCACTGCAGCTCCCTTGCTGTTGCCTGCCTCCCCACCAGCAAGAGCAGCCAGCGCTGCTAGCACGTCGGCATCAGGCAGCAGCCGCCCTCCCACCGCCGGCCGTGGGGCGCTGGCGCCGGCAAGCAGATGCGCCTCCTCCTGCCACGCCTCTGCCGCTGCTGCCTGCTCCTGCTCCTCCTGCTTGCTGCCAGCCTCTGGCTCGGCGGCCGGAGCCCCCTCGCTTGCTGCTGCTGCTGCTGCTGCTGCTGGCGCCGGGGAGCTGATTTGAATGAGGCGAGACAGGCAGCCAGCCAGGTAACTGGCAGCCGCCACCTGGCGCTGCCGCGCCTCGCCTGCCGGCACCTGCTCATGCAGGTGCTCCAGGTGCGGCACGCCCAGCACCGGCTGCTGCTGAAGGGGCTGGTAGCCCTCTACCGGGTGCAGGAAAGGGCGCCCGCCAAAGTTGAGCTCGCACCGCTCTGCAGGACGGAGCCCAACGGACAAAGGGGATCAGGGGGTTGGCACGCGCATCAAGGGCGGCAAGCGCAAGGCTCGCAGCAAGCGCTTCAAACCGGCGTCCAAGGGTGCCTACTCTCTTCTTAAGCAGAAGACCAGCTAGCCCCCAGCCCCGTGGATGACAGGGGGCCCAACCAGTGCTACATAAACTCAGAACATCCCCACCCCGCGATAGCAACTCTCTCACCCCCCGGGCGGCACCTCACCTCCATAGCTGAGCGACACCCCACAGAAGTATGCCGCCCCTGGCATGCCGCGCCGCACGTCAGCAAAGGCCTCGCCCTGCGGCAGCCAGCCAGCAGTGGTTGTCCCGACAGCTCCGCCCCGCTTCCAGGCGCCCCCCACACAGCCACCCCCCTACATGCCATCAGCCTTTGACTGCACGGCCCCACTCCTCACCAGGTCTTTTCCGTTGCGCAGGTAGCGCATGGAGCCGGCGTCGAGGTCGATGCAGCAGCCGATGGTGTCGCCCGCCGCCCAGCGCTCACCGTAGGCCGCATTGGACACGTGCCACCGCATCTTGCGTCGCCCGTCATACGCATAGCTGCGTCATCCGGAGATGGGGAAAGGGGAGGAGAGAAAGGCAAAATGTGTAGAGCCTGCCACATGAGCGGGTGTTTGGGATTGGGGCAAGCAGCACGCTTTTGCCACGGCGAGGTGTGCATGCCACATGGACCCGCCTGCAAGCCACCCTGCGTGGCCTCACTGCCACAATACCTGTCCTGGTTGTCTCCCACCCCTTCCTCGCTGTTGAATCGAGCCTGCAGGGTCGTCCATCCCAGCTGCAGCAGGCAGCACAGGCAGCGAGAGGTGGAGCGCAGCCAGCATCCCTGAGCACCGAACAGCAAGACTGGCGGGTAGGGGCGGCGCGCCAGGCCTGGGCCAGCGGCAGGGCATGCCAGTGCAGCCCGGCCAAGGCAGTCACAGGCAACAGCCGCGGCATGAGGGCCGGCAGGCTGGTGTAACTAGTGGCTCCACCAACCCACCTGAATGATGCCTGCAGTCCCCAGCTGTGCCTCATACATCCACCGCCCCTTCCACACGCACACGCTGCTGCGCACGGTGCTGAAGTTGGTCCTGCAGGGGGCGGGGCCAGAGGCAAGGAGCAGGCCGCAGCAAGCCAGGAGGTTAGCCGTGAGGCCGGCCAACTGGTGCGTGGTGCCATCTGGACTGCCGTGCGTTTCGGCATGCCCCACCCACTCAGGCTGCCGATCCACCTCACCGGCTCATCACGTTGCAGCCCCGGATCTCACACGTGCCTCTGGCCTCCACCAGGGTCACCTCGTCTGGGCCCAGCCTCCCGCTGCTGATGCATGGGGCAGGTGCAGCAGCTGGCGGCGCGGCTGGCGCCAGCGGCGAGCCCGCGGGCGAGTCTGCCTCCAGCGGCGGCGGCTGCTCAGGCGAGGCACTGCCGCTGGAGCCACCACCTCCAGCTGCACTACCACCGCTGCTGCTGCCGCTAATTCCAGGAGCCGCCTCGCTGATGCCGCTCACGCTGGCTGGCTGCACGGCTGCCGCGGGCACCTCGGATGCCGCGCCTGCCACTGCTACCTCTGCCCTTGCAGCCTGCGCCTCTGGTGGCTGTGCGGCACCGCCAAGACCGGCTGCCACCTGCAGGGCCTGCTGCACATGCTGCTCCACGGCCTGGAAGTCTATCTGGCCACCACGCACAAGGGGCGGCAGCGGTGCCAAGAAACTGCCGCCGCCGCTGCCGCTACCACCATTGCCGCCCACCACATACTTCAGGGCCTCTTCCAGGCTGCTCTCCAGCCTGGCAACATTCAGCCGGTGCAGCTTGTGGTCCCTGGGAGGCGAGTCTTCGAGCAGGAGAGTGGCCAGCCCGGTGGGGCGGTCACCTCCAGTGTGTAGGCCCATGTATTCGGCTTGGAGGCTATCCAGCTCAGTGCAATGAATGGCGGTCTTATCGCTCTGGTCGTATAGTGTGTGCTGACAAGGATTGCTACCTGAGGATTGCTTTGGAAAACTTGCTTGGTGGCCCTGATTTCTCGTCCACCGCTGATAACGCGGCAAGATGTCGGCACCTAGGCAGCGAGAAGCCCAGCAGCAGCGCCTGGGGCTGTGGGACGCTGTCTTCAGCGGCGATGTGAAGGTAACCTGAGCTCCTGGCGCCACAGCGCGACGTGATGCCTGAAAGTGCGTTGCCTTTACCCCGGCCGACACGCCTACTGCGCTGTGTGCAGACCGCCGCCGCTGCGGTGGCGGCGCTGGCGGCGAGCCGAGCGGCACCGCCGGGCCCTTCCCACGTGGCTGCGCTGCTAGGCCTGGCTCAGCCAGGGAGTCCAACGGTCGTCTTGCTCCCCACCCTCACCCTGCTGTCACGGTGGGCCAGGCAGCAGAGCCTGCAGCCCGCCGCCGCACGTCAACCAGACTTGCTGCATGGCGCGGCAGCAGCAGCACAGGACTTGCTGGCCAACAGGCTGGCTGCAGCATCAGCAGAGCAGGCACGTGTGGCGGCGGCCTGCCTGCTGCTTCTGGGCAGCGTGGGACCAGCAGCGACAGAGGAGGGCGAGGCGGAGGCGCTGGCACATGCTGTGGGGGCCGCGCTGGTGGGTGGACGCCTGGTGAAGCCCGAGGCTGCGACAGCTGCCGATGCCATGGCTGCGGTGGGCAGCCTGCTGCCCTGCCTACTGGTGAGTGCTGGGCTTCCTGAACCCGCCAGTCACTTGCTGGACTGGCTGAATGTGTTGCGAGCGCTGTGGAATTTGTTCGCCTCAGCCCCAAGTGCGCCTGACGCACAGTATGCCCCTGCTGCAGGGCAAGCCTGCGGCGGCATGCCGGCTGCTGTCGGCGCTGCTGCAGTGGCTGGGTGACTGGGCGCCCGCTGAAACGGGCTGCCTGGCTGTGGACTGCCTGGCGCCAGCATATGGCATGATGCGAGGAGCAGCAACAGCAGTGCTGGGCCGCACCCAGCCAGCAGCGGCGGTCTCTGGGCTGCTGCGCCCGGCATACGCCGTCCTCAAGTCTGCGGCAACTGCTGTTGCGGACAACGCCGGCGGGCAGGTGCTACAGCAGCCCGTGGTGACACAGGCATCCGTGGCAACTTTGGCAGCCGGCGGCTTGGTCGAGGCTCTGCTGCGGTCGGCAGCTGGGTTTCCAGAGGCAGCAGCGCTAGCAGCCGAGGCGGAGGCGTGCATTGTGGAGACCTGCAGTGCGGCAGCAGCTGCTGAGTCGCTGGCAGAGTCAGCGCTGCTGCGGGATGCATGCTCGCTAGCCGCGGCCCAGCTGGTGGGTGCGGTACGGCGACCCGCGCTGCTGGCATCGCCGGGGATTGTGCGGTGCCAGGCGCAATCCCTGCTGCACAGCGCGCTCAGCCTGGCGCCACTGTGCCATGCGGCGGAGGTGCAGCTGCCACCCTCACAAGCCAGCCAGCTGGTGCAACGCCAGCTGGGCTGTGGGCTGGTGCAGCATGCAGGCGGCATGGCCAGTGGACTGTCAGCGCAGCTCGGGCAGATGGATGCCGGCATGTTGCAGTGGGTGGTGCAGCAGGTGCAGGCAGCTGCACGGCAGGCGCATCAGCACTACCGCGGGTACTCGCTGGTCCCGCCGCAGGGCTGGCTGGCAGCCATCGACGCCGCTGCTGTGCGGCTGCTGCTGGACAAGCTCTTCCTCACCTGCCTGGTACTGCTAGTAGCTGCGCTGGAGGCTGGGCCGGTGCCCAGTGCAGCCAATGCGGCACCGGCGGCCACTGCAGGCCGAGCACAGCGAGCGGGGGCTGCAGCGGTCGTGTTGGCAGACCTGCAGTTCTGCCGCCTCAGCTTCCCACCCCAATATGCCGTCCTGCTGAAGGCCGCCCTGGCCGAGCTGCCCGATAACCCGGCTGCTGCAGCCAGCCTGGCGGCCTGCCTTCCATGCTACGCTGAGCTGGCAGGACCATGCGCCACCCGTGGCAGACAGGCAGCCTGGCTGGTGGATGGTGCGGCAGCGGCCAAGGTTCAGTTCGTGATGAGCGTGCTGACCTCCTGCTGCCCCGTGCTTCCCCGGGTAAACAGCGGCCTGCGCCTGAGACCCTGTTTCTTGGCCTGTCGTTTACATTTCAGGGTGTTCAGGCTACACTGCAAGCCGTCAACGCTGCAGCCCCTGTGCCTCGCTGCTCCATGCAGAGCAAGCTGGAGGAGCGGCTCGCCCCTGTGGCCTTTTTGTACCTGCTGCATCCGCACCCCGCCACGGCCACCTCGGCGCACAACCTGCTCTGCGCGCTGCTGATGGCGGCTGCCGAGGAGCGGCGGCCTCCGCTGGCTGCCTACTATGTGCAGCGCAGCCTGGAGGGCTGCCCAGGCGCCACGCCGCTACCACAGCTGGCGCAAGTGGGTCCAGCTATTGCCTGGGCTTGCGCTACAGATTTCAGATGCCTACAAGGGTGGCCAGCCTTGGGTCCAATTGCAGCGCACAAGCTGAGCAGCCTTCCCTGCCTGCGCGGTGTGCAGGGGCTGGCCACTGTCATGGAGGCGCTGCCGGTGCGCAGCCCCGTGGCGCTGCTGTGCCTGCAGCAGGTGCTGGACAAGTGCTGGGAGCTGGCGGCATGGTGAGTCACAGGTGCTGTTGTGAACTGCCGGGTGGCCCTGCTGTGCTGTTGCGTTCAAACCAGGCCTACGTGCCTCGTGGCCGGCTGCAGGGGCGATCCCAGCGCGCCTGAGCTGGCAGCGATAGCGGCCCAGCAGCTGCTCATCATCGACCACCTGCTGCTGGATGAAGCGATGGCAGCCTTTGACCGCCTGCTGCACCCAGCTCGCAGCCTTGGAGCAACAGCTGGGACGACAGCGTCACCTCTGCCTTCTGCAGCACCAGCCGCTGCGGTGCTGCGGCGAGAGGTGCTGGCGGCTGTGCGACGCTCCGACGACTGCCTGCGCAAGCCGGTGCTGGCCAGCTGGCTGCTATCAGCAAGCGCCAATTTGTAGTGGCAGCTCATGTTTGTCAGGGGAACAGCTGCCAAGCATGGTGAGGTACATGTCTCGCCCAGGCGTGCATGCCTTTCTCTGTACTGCTGGAGATACTTCTCCTTTCTGCATAGTTTCAGAACAACCCATTGGGTGTCTTGGCCTGGGTGGGAGCAGGATGGTTGGCTACCGCCGCCTGTGGCCCGAGCCGGCGGAGGAGGAAAAGGAGGCTCAGGTGGGCGCTCTGCGGGGTGTTCATGGCGCGATTGTGTCATCTGTGGACCGCGTGGTAGGGCCCGGATGGCCCATAGGGCAATGTGGTAGGAATGGGAAATACAGGGCGCCCAGCTCCCGGCGCTGAGCGCGCTGTGCCGTCGCTGGACTCCTGAACACGGCGCGCAAGCTCCCTCGCGCATTCATCCCCATCCAATTGGCCTTCTGGCCTCCCACCCCTCCCTTCTAGCTCTGCTTGTGTGGGTTTGACCAACACCCACGCGGTTACCGTCCCGGTTGGCTGCGGGCTGTGTGCTGAGCGGACCGCTGCGTGGTTGTCGTGTCGCAGTTGGCGAAGATGGTCACCGGCAGCACAAGCGCGGACCTGGAGAGCGCGCCGACACTGACTTCAGCTGAGCATGGCGCCCAGCCGATCGGCCCCTTTGGCGTGGACCTGACCACGATTTCAGAGATTAATGAGGTGAGCGGGGCAATGACACAACTTGTGCCCGCACGACTCGCGCGACGCGCTAGCGGCCAGGTACTGAAAGCCCCTTCCTGCTCCTGCCGAGCAGCACAAGAACCTGGACAAATGGGAGGAGCTGGGCGGCCTGCCGGGCGTGGCAGCGGCGCTGCAGACCTCGCTGCATGACGGCGTGAATCCCGCCGCCACGGACGGCACCGATCTGGAGGCACGCAGGTATGTGCTGGCTGAACACGCCGTGACTGAAACCCAGCCGAGCTGTTGCTGTCAATGGTGCATCAGGGCTGACAGCAATTGCCCAGATCCCTCTACTTCATGCTCTGACCCGCCACGCCACCGCCGCCGCCGGGCCCTCTGCCGCAGGGCGGCCTTTGGCGCCAACAAGTTCAAGGCCATCCCACCCAAGAGCTTCTTCAGGCTATGGTTTGGCAACCTGAAGGATCCAACCCTGATCATGCTCATGGTGGCAGCGCTGGTGAGGCAGCCACCGCCGCGCAGCACACTCTTGTGCAGAACTGCGTTGGTGCCAGGCAGGGCCGCCGGCGGCTCCACTCCTGGCATCGAGGCAGCGGGCAACAGATGGATCGCCAGGCTGCTGTCTGCATTCATGGCTCAACCTGCAATGGCTCAGCCTTGGGCTTTGCCCCGGCAGCCAAGAGCCTACTGACCTGACGATGCGTCCCGTGGTGTGCCCCACCTCACCTCACCTCACCCCATCCCCATGCATCTCCGCGCAACAGATCTCCACCATCCTGGGCGCGGCGGTGCCCGAGGAGCGTGAGAACAGCGCGTGGACGGAGGGCGTGGCCATCTGGGTTGCCGTGCTGGTCGTCTCGCTAGTCGGTGGGTGGCCTCGCTGTGGCGCCCTCGCCCTGCTGGCTGCCAGCTGTGACAGACCCTGCCCCTGCGTGTGCAACCCCAAGGCCTTGCCTGGCGTCCTGCCAGTCCCCCTGGCCAGCCCTGGCTGCTCTAGCTTTTCAACGCGCCCCTGCCTTTCAAAGTTGGCACCCGTTCCACCGGACTCGCACCTACTGCACCCGCACACTCATCCATCTCCACCTGCCCACCACACCCGCAGGCGCCTTCAACGACTGGAACAAGGACCGCCAGTTCCAGAAGCTCAACGCCCAGAAGGACATCATCGAGGTGAAGGTGATGCGGGGCGGCAAGGAGCTGACCATCCCCAACCATGATGTGGTAGTGGGCGACGTCATGCTGCTGGACACGGGGGACAAGATCATCGCAGACGGGTTCACTATCGAGGTGGGCGGGGGGCGGTAGGGGCGGCGGCAGAGGGGGGGCAGGTGCAGGGCTCGGCAGAAGGGGCAGGGAGGGGCAGGGAGGGGGCGGGGAGCGGGGAAGGGAGCGGGCAGGGAGTGCCGTAGTTTCGAATGGAGGTGTGCTAGGGAGGGGAGGATGCAGCGTCGGCCCATGGCGGCCTGCCGGCCGGCCCTGCCGCCCCTTGCCCCTTGCCTGACCTGCTCTGGTGCCGCACCCTGCTGCAGGTGCACGGCCTGGTGGTGGACGAGGCGTCGCTGACAGGCGAGAGCGACCCGGTGAAGAAGGGCGCCGAGCTGGGGCAGGAGCCCTGGGTGCGGTCGGGCACGCAGGTGAGCAAGCCTGCTCAGCCTGGAGTAGGAAAACCGCCGCTGGCGCAGCCGAGCCCTGCTGTGGGAGCCAGCTGGGACCGCCAGCCCCTCATGTGCTGCTGAAGGGTCTGTGCGGCCCTGGGAATAGTTGGCCAGTGGCAGCATGCATTGCGCTCCCTCCGCCGCGGCCTGCCAGCGCGCATCCCCCAGGCACTGCTGGTGCTGCTGCTGTGCCCCTCCCCCTCCCCCTCCCCACGCTCCCCACCGCAGATCACCGAGGGCAGCGGCCGCATGCTGGTGCTTGCCGTGGGGGAGCAGAGCGAGTGGGGCCGCACCATGGCGCTGGTGGTGGGCGAGGTGGGCGAGACGCCGCTGCAGGAGAAGCTGGGCTGGCTGGCCACGGCCATTGGCAAGCTGGGCTTCATCGTGGCCGTCATCTGCTTCTTCGTGCTGCTCATCAGGTGGGGCTGGAAGGAGCGCGAGCCCGGTGTGCAGCCGCAGCCGTTGGCTGGCTGGCCCATTCCTCCAGCAGGCTGCGGCGGAGTGCCTGCTGACCGCGCTGGCCTGCATCACGGCGTGCCCCGTCATGCAGATGCATGCCTCTGTCACCTCCCCTGCCCCTGCCTGCCCCTGCCCGTCCCCCAGGTGGATCATCATCAACAAGGGCTTTCCCATGGACCAGTTCTCAGAGGGCCCACTCCAGTTCTTCATCTTTGCAGTCACCATCCTGGTGGGTAGGCGCTGCCCAGCCTTTTGCCCGCCCCCTCTCGCACTTGCCCCTCCCTCTATTCTGCGTCCTGCGGTAGCGGCCTGGTCCGCATGGCAGGAGATGCAGCCCAGCCGCGGGTGCTCAGGGCCGCCTGACGCACGCCGCGCGCCGACGCCGTCGCCCTGCTCCCGTGCTGCGTCGCAGGTGGTGGCTGTGCCGGAGGGCCTGCCCCTGGCAGTCACCATATCGCTGGCCTACTCGATGAAGAAGATGATGAAGGACAACAACTTTGTGAGGGTGCTGGCGGCGTGCGAGACCATGGTGGGTGGGGGAGGGAGGCAGGGGAGGACTTGGGAGGCAGCTGGGCCAGAGGCGGCGTGCAGCAAGGTGGTCGCACTGAGGTGTGCTGCTGGGCTGGTGCAAGGCCGGCGCAGAGAGAGGTTTGTGTGCATGCCAGGCAGGTAGGGGGCTTTACGCCGGCCACGGCGCTTGCGGTGCCTCCCCACCTCCCCGCCCGCAGGGCGGCGCCACCGCCATCTGCTCCGACAAGACCGGCACGCTGACCGAGAACCGCATGACGGTGGTCAAGGGCTACTTCTGCGGCCAGATGTATGCCGAGGTGCCGCCGCTGAGCGCGCTGCCCGCGGGCGCGAGGGAGGAGATTGTGACCAACGTGGCGCTCAACTCCAAGGTGGGCCCCTTGGCGGGCGGGCAGTGCTGGGGCAGGCAGGCCCGGGCTGGCCAACGTTATGTCCTGACCCGATGCATCAAGCTGTCAGGAGTGCGACCTGCTGCTGCTGAACCTGCCCTCGCTCGCATCGCCAACACACACTGCCACGCCACTCGCCCCTCCCACCTGCCCCCCAGGCCTTCCTCATGGTGGACGACTCCAACGGCAAGGTGGACTTCGTGGGGAACCGCACCGAGTGTGCGCTGCTGGTCATGGCGCGCAACTGGGGCCAGAACTACCGCGAGCTGAGAGACATCCACCACGACCAGACAGTGGGTGAGTGGAGGGGCAAGGGGCGGGGGACCAGGAGCGAGGCACCCAACATCCAAGTGTGGCATCTTGCCGCTTTCGAGCTGATTCATCGCAGGGTCCCTGCCTGGATGTCTTGCCCTGCCCAGCTGGCCCTCCATGGCCCTTCCCGCCCCCCTCCTGCTGACCAGGGCCCCACCCACCCGCACGCCACCCTTCCACCTCATCCACCCTTGCTTGCAGAGGTGTATGGCTTCTCCTCTGAGCGCAAGATGGCCAGCGTGCTGGTGCGGCGGCACGGCGCGCTGCGCCTGTACAACAAGGGCGCCGCGGAGATGGTGCTGTCGCGCTGCACCGCCATGGTCAACGCCGGCGGGGAGTCCCAGCCCATGACCGAGGTGGGGCGATGGCATGGTAGTGGTGGTGGCAGGGAGGTGGGGTGCTTGCGCTAGCTGATGCCGCATGCGGTGCGTGGGCCTTGCGCCTGCACTTCGAACCCCGCCTGCCCGCCGGCCGGCGCATGTGCAGGCTATGCGTGAGGAGCTGATGCGCACCGTGACCAGCATGGCCTCCACAGGCCTGCGCACGCTGTGCCTGGCATACACAGGTGGGGGCCAGGGGGCTGGAGGGGTGCTGGGGCTGAGGCGTGGCCGATGCCCCAGGCCCCACACCATGGCCAGCTTGGAACCGGGGCTGCAAGTGGTCCGCCATCCCTCCCTCCTCCGCCCCCACCGCAGACTTCCCCGAGAGCGACCCCTCCCGCCCCGCCGACTTCTTCGCCACGCCGCACGAGGAGAACCTGACCGCGCTGTGCATCGTGGGAATCAAGGTGGGGGCTGCGCGGTGCCATGGCAGCGGGCTTGGGCCTGCCAGCCTGTGATGCCAGGTCTGACGGCTGCAGCCGACCCGATGCATCCTTGTCGAGGCCACACATGGTGGGAGCTGAGCGGATGGCCTGCTGCCACCTGGCGCCGCCTGCAGGACCCGGTGCGCAAGGAGGTGCCAGACGCGGTGGCCACCTGCCAGCGCGCGGGCATCACCGTGCGCATGGTCACGGGCGACAACATCCACACCGCCGAGCACATCGCCCGCGAGTGCGGCATCCTCACCGGTGCGCCTGGCGCCCACCTGCCGAGATGGCCTGCTGCTGCTCTCTCCTCCCACCTCTGAGCAGCATGGAAGCCTGGTGGCAGGCATGCACATGGATGCCAAGATGTGCGCGTTTCCACACCGCGTTCCTGCCCCTTCCTCTCCACCTGCGACCTCCCGCCACTCCCCGCACTCACCCCTACCCGCCCCCGCCCGCCCCACACGCAGACGGCGGCCTGGCGCTGGAGGGCCCCGACTTCCGCGTGATGCCGGAGGAGGAGCTGTTGCCGCTGCTGCCGCGTCTGCAGGTGCTGGCCCGCTCCAGCCCGCGCGACAAGTACATCCTGGTGCAGACGCTGAAGAAGATGGGGGAGGTGGTGGCGGTGACGGGGGACGGCACCAACGACGCCCCCGCCCTCAAGGAGTCGGATGTGGGGCTGGCCATGGGCATCGCGGGTGGGTGGAGGGCCGCCGCGCAGGGCGCGGGCGCGAGTCGGCACGCCGTCGGTGGGCAGGCGGGGGCCTCGAGCAGAGGCCGAGTGCTCCTGAGCCCGGGGATGCCCGCTGCCCTCCCTCCTCCTGCCAACCTGATCTCACCCCCCACCCCCACCCCCCTTGTGGCAGGAACTGAGGTGGCCAAGGAGGCCGCCGACATTGTCATCATGGACGACAACTTCTCATCCATCGTCAAGGCGGTGCTGTGGGGGCGCTCCGTGTTCACCAACATCCGCAAGTTCCTGCAGTTCCAGGTGGGGTGGGTGTGGCGAGGGGTATGGGATGCCAGCAGTGGGGCACAGCGGCAGCTGGTGTAGAAGCAGGGACAGTTGCCTCTCAGTCTTGTGGGGATGGCTGGCCTGCTTCCTGTGGCCCAGGTGCTGGAGCCGCCATCGCACCAAGCCCCTACCCCTGGCCCCCCGCCCTCCTTATTCGCAGCTGACCATCAACCTGGTGGCGCTCATCGTGGCCTTTGTGGCGGCCATCACCAACGGCGAGACGCCGCTCAACGTGCTGCAGCTGCTGTGGGTGAACCTGATCATGGACTCGCTGGCCGCGCTGGGTGAGCTGGGCTGAGCTGGCGTCGCCTGCAGCCAGCGCCGGGTCCTGGCCGCCAGTTGTGACGTGCACTCAGCAGGCTGCCCACCTGCTGGCATGCCCCACCCCGACACACATGCACCCACTCGCCTTCCTGCAGCTCTGGCCACCGAGGACCCCACACCCGACCTGCTCGCCAAGAAGCCGCACGGGCGCGACGAGCCGCTGATCAGCAGGCACATGTGGCGCTTCATCCTGTCGCAGGGCTGCTACCAGGTTGGCAGGGGAATGCCATCACACCCCCGCCTGGCTTGTGCCTCATGCCTGATCGTTGCAAGCGTGCCTGTGGCACACTTCTTCCCACTCTGTGCCCTGTTTACCCTTTCGCAACGCAATGGCTGCCTGCTGAGCTGCCTGCCTGGCTGAGCTGCCTGCCATCCCGTCTGCTGTTCACCACCCTGCGCAGATCTTCTGGCTCTTCCTCATCTTCTACGGCATGCCCGCCCACCTGGACCGCTTTGCCATCCCCTCACAGTGCAACTTCTACTCCGCCAATGCGGTGCCCGGCTTCTGCTGCCCGCTGCCCATGAGCGAGGCCGGCACGCCGCAGTGCTACCAGCCCAACGGCGGCTACTGGTTCGCAAGTGAGGGCTGGGCACGGGAGGGCATTGCTCCGCTGGTCCAGTGGCATCATTGCTGCGGTGGCTGGCAGCCGCCCATGAAGGTTGTGCTGGCTGCTGACTCTGCTCCGAGCGTCAACTTGTGTGCCACCAACCACTGCCACCAATCGCTGCCTGCCCGCACTGCCTGGCTGCAGACGAGACGGTGCCGTCCTGCGGGCTGGAGGTGAGCGGCGGTTGCAAGCTCACCGAGCCCACGGTGGAGGCATTCTGCGGCGCCGGCTCCCCGGGCTGCGGCCGCTACACCCAGGTCAACGACTACTACCAGCAGGTTGGTATCGCAGGCCGGGCCCAGGTGGTGGTTGCGGCAGGGGGGAGGCCCGGGGCAGAGGCGAGCTTTTCTTCACACATCGCCCCATGCACCAGGCTGGCTGCTCGCCTCCAGCGCTGCCTTGCAACCCAGCCGCCCCGCGTCTCCCTCTCTCCTCCTGCCGCAGCTGAACTCTGAGTGGACTGACGCTGAGGAGAAGGCGAAGGAGGACATCAGCTCCATGGTGTTCAACACATTCATCTGGTGCCAGGTCAGCGCCGCGGTCGCGTCGCGTGCTGGTGTGCCTCCAGGCCCAGGACTCAGATCACCGCTTCCGCACACCAGATGGTGGCAGCCCTGCACTCCTTGAGGGCCCACCTGCTCAGCAGCCCCCTCACTCTGCCCCAGCCCAGTGCCGCTGCCCGTCCCCTGCCCCCCACCTGCCCAGATGTTCAACATGCTGAATGCTCGCAAGGTGGAGGACGAGATCAACGTCTTTGCCGGCCTCTTCCAGTCGCACATCTTCTGGGTAATCTGGGTCGTCATTGCAGGTTTCCAGGTGGGTGGGGAGCGCGTGTGTTGTGGATGGGCCAGCGGCGGGGCGCCCGCACATGCTCCGAATCCTGGGGGTGGAAGAACTGCCAGGCAACGCTCAACCCACAGCCTTTCTCTCGAGAACTGCGTGCCATGCTCTCTCCTGGGCCCCCTCCCCTGCCTTCCTCCCAGGTCATCATCATGTTCTTCCTGGGCGGCATCTTCAAGGTGGAGCACCTGTCGGGGCTGGAGTGGGGCATCTCCATCCTCATCGGCATCGGCTCCCTCCCCGTCAGCATGTTGTCCAAGGTCGTCACCAAGTGAGCGCTTTTGCCTTGTGCTTTCGCCATGACAGTGCACGCCTGCCTGCAATGCGTGCGTGCTGTGGCGGTACAGGGGTGCATGTGCAATGGTACTTGCATGACTTGTATGGGCTAGGAGTAGAATAGGCAAGGCAGATTAGCTAGCAACCCGGGAAGGCTGCACCAGGTCGCGGCCGCAGTGCAGCGCGAGGCAGGCAGACAGTAGGCAGGCACCGCTTGTGCTGTAGGCCAGCCTGCGCCAGCTGTGGTGCCCAACGTCTGCGCCTCCTGTGCATCCAGGCTGCTGCCGCAGCGGCCGGATAGGCCGGACAGGAATTTGACGCACGGCGTGGCGCTGGAGGCAGCTAATGGCTACGGCAGGCAGCAGGGGCGCGGCTGGCGCGCGTGGCTGCCGTGGGGCCGCAAGGCCATCGCCCCCGCAGCAGCACAGCTGGAGAGCACCGCACCGCTCACACACGGCACCGCCACAAAGAAGGAACTGGGCAGCGGCGGCGAGGGGCACGTCGCGGTGATCCGCATTGAAGATGCCAACTGGCAGCATCAGCAGAATGGCGGCATTGCACAGGGGGCCAATGGCCGCAGCTATTGAGCACCCGTGTGCAGCAGGGTGACAGCTGGCGCCTCTCAGCAGGTGGCCCAGCCAGCTGACAGCCTCCCAGCAGGCTGCTGAACCACTGCAGACGAGTGCACCTCTTCAGCAACAGCATTTCATTCCCAACTCTGTTTTTCTAAAAGTTTGCACCTACCGGCGTAGGGTCGGCGGGGCTGCTGACTTGCCTTCCCAGCCAACCCTCTCCTGCAGCTTCGACGCGAGAATGCTGCGGCGGCGCATGTCTGCCACCGTCTACGCTGCGGATGGGACCCCGGTCAGCGGCCGCACATCCAGCCGCTCTAGTGTGATTGGAGCTACGCAGCGGTCAGCACGCGCGCTGCCGCTGGTGCGCAAGCTGTGATCGGCAGGTTCTGAACCACAGTGGCCCAGCCTCCTGTCTGCCAGCGACGCCGTGATCAATCAATAAACTTGCAATTCACATTCTTTCGGTTCCCATGACATTTCACTGCTCCCACGGCTCCTTGTCAACAACAGGTATCAAAGCCGCCCGCTGCAAATGCGTCGGCAGCAACGAGTGACTTGTGTGTAACGTCTGCTGTGTGTTAGTAGGCGAGCAAGGAATTGGGGAGCAAGAGTGTCGGCGCGCCGTGGCGTCACTCGCCAGGCGGGCGGCGGGCGGGCGGCCAGGAAACAAACAGCCACCTAATGCGGGACTCTACCGCTCATTTTCGTTACTCCAACGCGTCTCATCACAGCAGCATTTCCCTCATTCTGCGCGTCTGTGTTGCTTTCTGCTACCGGTTGGCGCGCTGCCACTGTCGTTCGCCGGCGTGACTCGTCAGATTAGTCTGCACTCGTTACTATTAATGATGAGTGTGTAGGAGGGGCTCCCGACTGGCAGCAGCGGAGGGGCGATGAAGCGGAGGGGCTACGAGAGCCTTGCTCGTCGCCTGGCCAAGCGGGAATGCCACGGAGCACCGCCAGGAGCTGTGGTGAGTGACGCCAGGCCGGCCGGACCTTGCCGCTCTGGTGCCGCCGCCGACGCCGCCAACCGTCACGGCGAAGGCAGGGACACTGGTCTCTACCGCCTGCCGCAGCTCCCCTCTGACCACCACCCCTCTTCCCCGCTGCATCCGCAGGCGCCGCAGAGCCGGCGGCTGTACGAGAGCGTGGTTCCCGACACAGCGGTGCCGGGAGTGGTGCCGCCACCAAACACAGTCCTCTACTGCTTCACACCTTGCGGCCACTTCCTGGTTGCTTTCCAGCCCGTCTCCAACGAGGTGGTGGCATTCCGCTTCAAGGGCCTCAACATGGGGATCAGCGCCAGTGCTCCCCAGCCGACCACCGTCGGCGGCGGCGGCCTCCGGGATGCACCAGCCAGAGCAGCGGGCGCAGATGCAGCCCGCGCGGCTGGCCAGCCACAGCCAGCAGACAGCTCGCACTCTGCGGCTGATCAGCCGGCACAGGCGCCTGCGCAGCAGGAGAAGCGGGAGCAGCGGCGCGAGGTGGCGTTTGGCGACGTGTTTGAGGAGCACTGGCGGTGCTGCCCCTGCCCGGGGCGGCGGGAGCACATTTGCACAGACTTTTGCATGGGTGCGTGAGCAGGCCTGCCTGCCTCTGCCGCCTGGCTTTTTCACCTGCTGTACGCTTGGCTGCTACGCACTTGTTTCTCCCTCCCTCCGCATGCCCCAGGCTGCCCAGCGGCGCCCGCTCCCCTCCCCAAAACCCACCCATGTGCAGTTGTGCACGGCCGCTTCCTCATGGTCGCCACCTCCTCCCCTGAGCGCCAGCCGCCCGCGAGTGCCCAGGGAGCCGCGCAGCTGGTGCCGGCTGTGGATGCAACCACTTTCCACCTGGTGAGCGCCAGCTGGCCAGCAGGCGTACGGGCACGTGCACGCGCGATGCGTGCTGTCGCGACCGATTCCTTCATTTTTGCGTGGCTGAATCCTTGCGGTCGCCCAGCTGCTTGCCGTCCTGGCCGACCTGTGTGTGTGTGCTCCTGCTGCCCTCTGCGCCCAGGTGGGCCTTGAGAGCGGCAGCCTGCTGGACAGCCACACCATCCACTCGGATTACGTGGAGCTGGCGCGGAACCAGGGGGCCCACCTGCGTGGCCACCTGCTGCTGGTGCTGGGGGTGAGCCAGCACCCTGCCCCAGCAAACCGCCTTTTTGTGACATGAGCCGCCGCGTGAAGTTGGTGGCACACTGCATGCACGCGCGGTGCGCGCTGCTGTGCCGACTGCCCGCCCCGATTCGCTGCCCGCCCCATCGCTGTGCAGCTGGCCAGCCAGACGCTGTACGTGCTGCAGCTGCTGCCGGCGGGGCGATTCCTGTACCTGCACGCCGTGGGGCAGCACTGCAGGGTGAGTGTGCTGGTGCCAGCCGTGCTGGCCAGTCTAGCCTGCTGCGCATGCTGCGCTCTCCTAGGCAACCGCGCAGCGCCGCTCCCAGCAAGCGCTCTGCAACTGGGGAATGGCTGTTGCGCTGTGGTGGCTGTGCAGGAAGACGACGCTTGGGTGATTGCGCAGCAGGAGGAGCGCGAGCGGCGGTTGCGCCAGCAGCAGCGCTGGCGCCCGCCGCCCGCCGTGCACAGCACGCTAGCCGCCGTCAGCTCCTTCTCGTCCTTAGGGGCGGCTGTCTCTGGCGGGGCGGGCTCCGCGGCAGCTTGGCCGTCCCCCTCCCAGCAACCACGGTGGCAGCCCAGCGCTCCCGTGGCAGCACCGGGCGCGAGGCCAGCACCGGCAGCAGCAGCCGCGGCGGTGGCAGCCCAGGGCTCAGTGTCCGACGGCGGGGAGGATGGGGATGAGATGGAGGAGGAGGAGGAGGCGGCAGCACACTCGCCAGGAGCAGGCGGCGGCGCATGGCAGCCGCGGGGGGCGCCGTCGCCGCTCATCGGCGGGCTGAAGCAGTGCTTGCTGTCCTGCCTGTTCCGGGAGGCGCAGCACCAGTCGCTGGCGGTCGCCGCTGCGGCGGCAGAGGCAGCGTCTGAGGGTGGCAGGGCCGCGGGCGGCAGCCAGGCGCCAGGCGCAGGCATGGTGCGGGGGCTGGCACGTGCCAGCGGCAGCACCGGCAACCTGCCGAGCGCCACAGCCGCGGCCGCACCGCCGCCGCAGCTCCAGCGCGTGGCTGGCAGCAGCGGCAACCTGGCCGGGCTGCAGGGCGCGGCCGCGCGGCAGCATGGCGGCGGGGGCGGCCTGGGGCTGCTGCCTCACTGGCGCCGCCCTCTGGATCGCTTCTACTACTACTTTGAGGCGCACCTGGAGCTGCTGATGTGGAAGGTGGGGCCCTGGCTGCCATGGATGGCAGTGCAGCTGCCGCAGGGCTGCTGGCGGCGGCGGCGGTGGTGGTGGTGGTGGAGGGAGAGATGTGCTGTGCGTTTGCGTGGCAAGAGAGGCCCTGCCCCGCTTGCTCCTTTCACGCCACCCGCTGTCTTGCTGCGTGAGCGTGCGTGTGCGCAGGCTCAGCTGCTAGATGACCAGCGCCTGCTCATCCACTGGTGCCCGCCTGAGATGCTGGCGGGGCCGCACCGCCACCAGCACCACGGGTGCGCAGGCAGCGCGGGTTGGTGGGTTTGCCGGCCGGCTAGCTGTGGGTAGCGGGGCACACAGAGCGGGCTCGGCGGCGGCCCCGCCTCACATGCCGCGGCCTTCATGCGCCCCCCGCTGCCCGCCACCACCTGCAGGCACGCCCCCTCCTCCTCCTCCGGCCAGCACGGCAGCTACCTCATGCTGTACAACACCGCCGCCGCCTGCGTGGAGCACCTGTTTGTGGCGCACTCGCCAGAGCTGGCGGCCTGGTGGGTGGAGGGCGGGCTGCGGGGCCTGGCTGGTGGGCGGTCCTGCTGGTGGGCGGTGAGGAGAACGGGGCCAGGCACGAGGAGGCGGCCTGCTGGCAGGGATGGCCTGCGCCGCGTGGCGAGCCTGGCCTGCCAAGCGCCAGCACCCGCCGTGCGCGCCGCAGGTACCTGCAGCAGCCCGGCGCCTTCCACGGCGGCGGCTGCGGCTGCGGCTGCGGCACCGACTGGGAGCGATGGGTGGCGCCGCCCGCCGCCTCCCGCGCCGCCCGCGAGCAGCAGCTGCGCGACCCGCTGGTGGCGGCCAAGGCAAGGCGCGGGCATGGCGTGGCGAGCGGGCGTGTGCTGTGTCGTGGCAGCTCCTGCTGATGCATGATTATGCGATTGCATGGCTCGCTCCCCTTGGCTCACTCCCCTGCTGTCTGCCTGCTCTTCCCCTGCCCTCCCCGCCTGCGTCCCCGCAGGAGCTGCGGCACCGCCTGGCCGAGGAGGTGCCCGCCTCCAGCCAGCTGCGGCAGGCCACACCATACCTAGGTGGGCTGGGGGGGTGGAGCGAGGGACGTGGCTTGCCGGCAGTGCTGCACCCTGGTGTGCCCGCCTGACTCCCCACCCACCCACCTCCGGCCTGCCCCTCGGGTGTTTTCTGTGAACTGTACCGCAGACCCAGACCTGTACTGCTATGACGAGCGAGCCATCGGCGGCGCCATCCGGCCCCACCACCCGCCCCACAGGCACGTTCGCTTGCGGGCCCCCGCACCGCGCCGCGTGGCCTCGCTGCCCTGCCTGGCGCTCACACCTGCCGCCCTGGCGCCTGCTTCCCCCCAGCCCTCGACCACCCTGGCTTGCCCGCCCCCCTCCGTGCCACCCGTACCGCAGGAGCATCAAGTTCATGTGCCGCTGCCAGCCCGAGCGCCTGCGCTTCCGTCTCGACCCGGAGCACCTGCAGCCCGTGGCGGCGCCGGCGGGCAGCCGCGCGGCTGCGGCGGCCGCGGCACGGGCCCACCTCACCTACCTCTTCCACCCCGTGCAGCCCTTCCTGCTGGTGGTCGTGCAGGACATTGAGACCGCCATGGCCGAGCGCCTCACCCTCTTCACCCGCCTGTAGCGGGGCTGCCTCCCGGCTCTGCACCTGGCGCGTTGCTGGCATTCACTGCTCACTGACAAACTTTCTGTAGAAATTCATCGCGATACTGATTTCATTCTGCCACCTCCGCCCGATTTTCGCCCCACGGCGCTCGCTGCTGGTGCACGCTTTTTCGGGGCCGCCGCCTCTACGAGGGAACGGCCCAACGCCATCACACAGAATTCCTTGTAACTTACACATAAGTGAGCTTCACTTCTAGCCACATCGGGCACTGTAAGAATGAAGAAGCAAAGGAACATCAGTTCAAAATCGACGGCGGTGGTGCCCCGCCACGGCGTGCATGTCATGCGTCGGCATCCTCGGGCCCTTCAGTCTCTACTCCACTGTTGGTACGATGTGGAGCTCCTGTTGAGCCCAGGGCTCAGCCCAAACATGCAGCCCCCGCCGCCACGACCCGGCAGGCCATCGTCGGCCACAAGCGAATTGAACACAGCCTGGCATCATGTCGAAGCCGGCATCAAAGCTGTCAGCACCCTGGTGGAGCAGGCGAGTGTCAAGAGGCTGTGTTCTGAAGACCCTGTGCCCGCGTGCTCACTCCCGCGTGGTGCCCCTGCAGCTCTCGCTGGCCAAGGACGAAGCCACTTTCAGGGCTCTGGCGGCCCACGCTCTGCCCCGTGAGTTCTCGCCGCTGCTGCCACCCTGCCGCCGGTTTGCGTTTCGGCCCTACCGCCTACCCATTCCCAGCACCCTGCCTGTCCTCCTGCCCGCGCAGAGCTGCACACCATCCAGCGGCAGTCCCAGCGTGCCGCCCAGCTGTCTGTGCACGTCAACGCACAGCTGGTGCAGCAGCAGCGGCAGCAGCAGCAGAGGCTGCAGCAGCACGCTTTGCTGCGGCACCAAGAGCAGCAGCTGCAGCGGCACCAACAACAGCAGCTGCTGCAGCGGCAGCAGCAGGAGCGGCTGCAGCTGCAACAGCACGCACGGCAGCAGCCCACGGTTGCGGTTGCTGTGGGCCGCCCGGTGGGGGCGGCAGTAGCAAAAGGGGTGCCTGCCCAGCCGCCCGCCCCTGCAAGCGCGCTCGGAGCTGTGGCACCCACTTCTGTGCAGCAGGCATACGAGGCCCAGTGGGCAGCTGCTGAGCGGGTACGCGCCGTGCAGCAGTCAGCAGTGGCAGCCGCAGCCGCAGCAGCGGCACGGGCGCAGCAGGGTGCCTCAGGCCCAGGCATGCCGCCGGCCCACAGCCCCCAAGTGCCGGCGCTGCCTCCGTCAGCAGCGCAGCAGCATGTACAGCAGCAGCAGCAGCAGCAGCAGCAGCAACAGCATAGAGCTATAGACGAGCGGCAGGGGCCAGGAGGCGTCCCAGTGTGGCGTCCTCCGCAGCAGCCTGGGCCGCCTGCGCAGCAGCACCACCTGCCAACCGGCCAGGGCCCGTCGGAGTTGGGGCCGAGGCTGCGGCGCGAGCTGAAAGGCGTGTCCACGAGGGCCCAGAGGGACGCGGTGCTCTCCCGCCTGGGCCTGACCCCCAAGCAGGCGGCCGCGGTTCTGGGGATCCAGCCGCGCGCGCGTACGGCATCGGCCGCGCCGGCAGCAGCAGGCGGAGGACAGGCTCAGCAGGCGCAGGCGTTGCAGGCTCAGGCTCGTGCGCAGCAGGCGCACACGCTTGTGCAGCAGCAGCAGGTGCAGCAGCAGGTGCAGCAGCAGCAGACGCAGCTCCAGCAGCAGGTCATTGTTGTGCAATCGAGTGATGCACCAAATGGGCCCGCTGCTGCTGACGCACATGTGCAGCAGCAGCAGCAGCAGCAGCAGCAGCAGCAGCAGCAGCAGCAGCAGGAGCAGTCATTGGCACACTTCGCAGCACTAGCGACAGAGCAGCAGCAGCAGCAGCAGCAGCCTGCAATGGCGCAGCCACCTGCCGCGGCACCCACATCACCGCCTCCCCTGTCACCAGGACAGGCCGAGGAGGGAGGTGGGGCAGCAGCGGCTTCGCCCGGGCAGAAGCGGGATGCCTCGGTGCTGGGCCAGCTGCCGCTGCCCCCATGCAAGCGGTCCTCAGCCACACCAGGCGCCGAGGCCCCACAGCACCCGCGGCAGCCGGCAAATGGCACGCTGCTGCCGGGACATACAGGCATTGGCAAGCCGCTGGGCGCCCTCGCCTGTTCCGTGCAGCCCGCTGAGCAGGCTCCCTGCATGGCGGCGGCAGCAGCCGGTGCGAGCGCTGCACCCGGAGCTGAGGCCTTGCCTGCAACAGCTTTGGCAGCGCAGGAGGAGGAGGAGGAGGATGAGTACATTGAGATTGTCTGAGAGAGCAAGAGAGCCATCTTCGTTGCTGTGTTCCAACAGCTTTGCACTTGTTTTCAGCTTGCCTACCGCCCTTCTGCACTGCCTATGATCCTTGTTCACATCATGGATCGTCTTCTTTCAAGCGAAGTGATCGAATGGACAAGCCGCGCAAAGAGGAGGTACTCGTGGCATGCGGCGCGACTTGTCGGCGCCCGCCAGGCTGGCGCTTCTCAAAATGCCGAGCCTCGTTGCTCGCAACGATAGCAGGGGACTTGGCCAAGTGCGCCAGACTCATTTTACTTCGCCCAGTTTTGGCTGGCGAGTTCTGCATGTCGATGGTCGCGCACATAGGCTCCGTGTGCTGCGTTGCTCGTCGCTGCATCTCGTTAACGAGCCTGGCGACACGGAGGCCGCTGCTGCATCGTGCCTTTAGAAGTGCCGCCGCCACGGCCGCCGCCTGTGCCGCTGTCGCCGCGCCCAGGCCGCAACCAGCTGGCAGCAGGAGATGGGCTGCCAGCCAGCGGCAGGGACCATGGCAGTGTCGAGCCTACCAGAGGCCAGAGGTTTACGACATTGCATTTAACTTCCGTGACTATGAGAAGGAGGTGAGTGGGAGGCAAGGGCCGACTGACCGACCCAGTTGAGATGTCAGAGAGCCAGCACAATCATGGACTGGGTGCACACACACCGTGGGGCGACGTCACGTGCCGGGGGGCAGTGAGCGCCACCCCACTGATCCATTCCAGGCAGCGCACCTGCTGGCCATGCACCAGCGGCACTGCGACAACGCCATGCAACACTTTTTGGAGGTGGCGTGCGGCCCCGCCCGGCATGCCAGCACCATTGCCAAGGCGGCGGGGGCGACGGCCACCGCCCTCGACTGCTCGCCCGCGATGCTCAGCTATGCCAAGCAGCTGGCGGAGGCGGCGGGGGTGGCTGGCAGCATGCGGTTTGTGGAGGCGGATATGACCGCAGGTGGGGGATGCGGTCAGAGGGCTTGGGACTGGGAGCTCCTGCTGCAGGGGTGGGGCCGGAGCAGTGATGCGTGCTTGGCACCGGGGCGTGCCGTGCTTCTCCATACGGCTCCTCTTTCCCCACCGCGCGCTTGTCCCTGCCTGCTTGCTGCCAGAGGGGTGGTCGCAGCGGGTGGAGCAGCCTGCTGACCTGGCGGCGGTGCTGCTGGGCAGCCTGGCGCATTGCTTGGACAACGACGCGGCGCTGGCCTGCTTCAGAGAGCTCAGGTGGGCTCACAGTGTACGGTGTCCGGCCGAGGGTTTGAGGGTTTGAGGGAGGCCTGTTGCGGTGTTCGTGCCCGGCCCCCCCCCACCCCCCACCCTGCGCGCCCGCGTGCCCGCCGTGCAGCAAGGCCATGCGGCCCGGCGGGCTGCTGGTGCTGGAGCTGCCCCACCCCAGCGACCTGTTTGGAGGGTACTGCCTGGAGGAGGAGCAGTACATCGAGGCCTGGGACGCACAGGTACTGCCGGTATTGCCTTTCCGAGGGATGGTGTGTGTGTTCGCCAGGAGGCCAGCAGGCACGAGCGACAGCATGCGAGTGGATACAGCGTGGAGTGGCGGCTGCCGTTGGCGCTGCATGCACTCATGGCCGCCGCCCGGCCCGCCCCTTCACCCGGGCCCCTTGCCCCGCAGTCTGAGGATGGCAGCAAGACGGTGCTGGTTGAGTGGGGGCGCGAGGGGGACCATTTCGACCTGCAGGAGCAGGCGGGCCTCGGCTTTGCCCTGGGGGCTGCAACACCCGCCGGTGTGGGCCCACCCGTCGCCTTATGCCCCTGCCCCGCTGCCACCCCAGCACGCCGTCCCGCCGCTGCCCCCGCTTCCGGCGCCTGTAGGTGCTGCACCGCACCGTGGGGCTGAGCATGTATGCGGGCGATGCGCTGGCGTCGAGCGAGGTGGAGGTGGTGCCTCAGCGCCAGTTCACGCTTCAGGAGGTGGAGCTGCTAGGCAGAGCCGTGGGGCTGCAGGTGGGGCGTGCGTGTGGGGTGTGGCTGGGCGGCAGCAGTGGGTGGCTGGCTGCCTGGATGGGCGGCTGGGCGGCTGGGGCTAGCTGGCTGCTGCCCCCGGGGCACACGCTGTGCCGTAGGGCACTGCTGCCCCTCACTGCTGCTGCCTGCCCTCTACTGTATCACAGTGTATGCAGCGGGCCCCACATCCGCCCGCCCTCCCGTTCCCTCGTGGCGCAGGTGGTGGAGGTGCATGGCGACTTTGATGCGGCTGTGGGGCTGGATCACGAGGAAGCCTACCGCTCAGTGGTCTGCCTGCGGCGGCAGTGAGGCACGGTGGGGTGGCCTGCAGTTGCTGCACCGCACCTGCCTGGCGCTTCTGGCCCAATCCCTGCAGGGCATGCTTGCTTCCAGATGAGTGCTCATTGGTGCAATATGATCATAGGCCTGCCTGGCAAGGGCGATCTCTGGCCCATGCATGCAAGGCTGGAGAGCTCTGGCGAGGAATCTTTGGGAGGGTAGCTTCTCCGTCCCCTCCGGATCTTGGTTTCATCATCCATGCGTCTCCGAGAGCTTCAGTTCCCGCAGCAGGCTCTAGCGCTGGCCACAAAAGTCTGCGTTCAGGGCTTTGCCCCCCCGGCTGGCAGGGAGAACAGGTTTGCCAGTGCTTGCCGGTTTGCGGCCGGAGGTCAGCCCCACCAGTAAGCCACCAGTAAGCAGCCGGTAAAACGCTGTAATCGACGCAAGCACCCCAAGGGGGACGCAGCAGCAGCTGCTGGCGGGGCGGCCCCCCGCCGAGGGCTACGCAGATGACCACACGGGAGGGCTCCAGCGCCTACCCTGACGATGCGGGCCTGAAAGGTGGCTGTTGGAGTTTATAATGCAGCAAGAGACCCGCTCCGAGGGGCTCCCTGCTGACGCCCATCGTGTTTTCGTGCCTACAGGCCTGCGGCTGAGCGCAACGTGCGGCTGCATCTGTTCAAGCGGCACTACTGACGTCACCACGCCCAATGCCGGGGAGCAGCCCATGGTCCGCTGGGCAACAGCCCCCCGCTGTACCGGCTCAGGCGGCGGCGTGGCCATGGCGGCAAGCAAGGCTACTGTGTGCTCCCCCATCCAGCCTGCGCTGCACCAGCTCTGCCATCACATTGCTCAGAGGCTGCCACCATGCCACATTCTGCAAGGCAAGCACAAGCGGTCGAGGGGAGAGCGGGCGAAGCGGGCATGTGCTTGCTGCTGCGTGCCTTCTGCTGCATGCTAACGCAAGTTGCATTGCAAGCCCAACTGTTACCCACCCGCCTGCTGCATTGACCACCTCCATCTGCAGTTCCCGGGCAAGGCTATCTGGTGGTGCGCAGGCGCAACGCTGCCCGGGCCCCCCGCTCCGCACCGCTTGCGGTGGCACCACCGCCGTTGCACCCTCCGCCTCACCAGCCCGATGTGCACGGCGCAGCCGCTCCAGCAGCTGCCTCCGCAGGGCTCAGCATGCAGCTGCCATGGCAGCCCCACGCGGCGTGGCCTGCAGCGGCTGCCGCACAGTCTCACTGGCAGGTGCTGGGCCAGCTGCCAGGACTGGCCGCCGCTCCCGCGGCTCCAGTCACCAACGCAGCAGCAACCCCCGCTTTGGTGCCTGCCCAGCACCAGCAGCATCAGCACTGCCAGATGCAGCTGGACCAGCTGATCTCGAGGGTCGAGGCGGAGCGGATGAAAGCCCTGGTGGAAACGCTGGTCCTTCACTGGCTGGCGCAGGCCCGCCAGCAGGCCGCCGCTGAACTGGCCTCCGCACAGCAGGCAGCTGCCAGCATGCTCCAGGCCTGCGCCGAAATGCAGGCCGCCGCAACTCTGGCTGCGCTGCCCTCGCTGTGAACCGTGCTGCAACCTGTTGCTGCTTTCGCCGCTGCCAGCCAAGCTGGCAGGCGTGGTGGCATTTCATAAGGCAACCTTACGCTGCCTTCCCACCTTCCCATTACCCCTCGCACCTGTTCTGTTTTCCACCCCTACCGCGCTTGCACATTGCTCTATTCCTGAAATGCTACATGGCTGCTTCCATTCTGGCCCTCGCAAAGTAGCGCCTGCCAAGCCCACATTTGCCGCCCACAGACGCGTGGTGCAGGTCGCTGTTCGTTCCTGACGCATGCATGCTGGCACATCCCACATCGCCTTTCTCTATCCCTTTCCAAATCCTCTCTTGCAAACACAGTAGCCACAAAATCAGTTCCTTTCGTCACAATGTATCCCCACGCTGCATAGCCATGCGCCTTCTGCCATCTTGTGTACCGGCTGCGCATCACCTCTTGCCCTCCCTCTTTTCCGCATCGGCAGGTGCGCTGTCATTTGGCGCTCCGCTGCTGCTGCACGCCCTCCACTTTCAAGACCCCAGCCACCCGCCTGGAACATTTTTGCATCATGCCACACCCCAGCCGCAAAACCCTCTCCTCTGTTCTGCGCTGGGCTGCCTGGCCCATTCCCACCGATACTGCCGGCTGCAGACCCCTTTGCTCTGTTCTGCTGCTGGGCTGCCGGTCCCCAGCCATTCCCACCAACAATGCTCTGATCTGAGGCCAACCCTCACCCCTTGGTGCCAGTGCCTGGGAGGGAATAACTATTCTCCCCATCTGTAACATGACCAATTGGCGTCTGTTGAGCCAGCGGGGGCGGCCAGATGTGCCTGGAATTCGGAGGGCGTCTGGTGCGAGGGGTGTGGTGGTGGCGGTGAGCCTGAATTCCGCGCTGTGACAACTGGGAGCAGTGCAGCCAGCCTTCTCTTCTTTGCAAGACGACACTTACACCATGCATGCCTCAATTGGATCACACGCTTGACAAACCGTGCACACAGTGGGGTACTACTTCCCTTGAACAGCTTGACAGGCAGGGGGCGGTGGCGGCGGCGGCGGGACTGACAGCAGGTGGTGGTGTAGGACGAACATGCAACACATGTTGGGTGCTCGTACACTGCTTTGCAGGCCACTGTATTGCAAGACCTTCACGTCCTTCAAAGGCGCAGAAACACCTCAACAGGCGCAGTACTGGTGCCATGTGGCAAATTGCTCCCAGAACAGCGCTGAACAGCGGGGCCATGAGTGAGCCCACGGTCGTTCTGCAACAGCCAAATCGTCCCAAATGGAGCAATGTGCTGCAGAGGAAGACTGGGCAAGGCCCCCCAGTTGTATAGGTGAGCGGCTGCTGCTGGGCTGGGGCCGAGCCGCCTGGGGAGCAGCTGTCAGCGGCAAAACCCAAACCACCAAGCGCCAGCAAGTACTGCTCCTCGCAGGACCTCCCTCTGGCTCCCTCTCCCTCCCTCTGGAGAGGAGCACCATCCTCCTCCTTCCCACACCAAGGATGGAAGCCGAGAGCGGCCCCACCGCCCCGCTGCCCCGCAGTGAGCGGGGCTCCGCCCCCACTGCCGGAGGCGGTGCCGCCGCTGCTCCCCAGCACCCACCTTCCACTGCCACAGGAGGCGGTGGGCCCCAGCCACTGCTGCACGGCACCATGCCACCGCTGTGGCCCTCGGCTTCTGAGCAGCAGCATGCAGCCCTGCCTTTGCTGGGCATGCCTCCCCTCCCAAATAGGGAGAAGGCCGCCGCTGGCATGCATCCCTCGCCACCAGCCGCCCTGCATCAGCTCTGCCAAGCGCTGCTGGACCAGCAGCTACCCCCGGCCAGGATTTTGGAAGGCAAGCACACGCGTGCTTACTAGAGTGGGCCGCTCCCTTGCGGTGCCAGCACGCCTGCTGTTGTATGCCTGCTGTGCACGCCCACCTGCTGACCCACCCGCCTGCTGCACTCGCCACCCACATCTGCAGTTCCCGGGCACGGCTATCTGGTGGTGCGCAGGTGCAACCCTGATAGCCAGCACCGGCGCCCTGCACCTTACTACACCGCCGCACCGGCACAGCAGCAGCCCCAGCAGCAGGCGCAGCAGCAGCCACCGCCCCACGCTTGCTTGCCGGCACGAGGCGGTTCCGGCCTGGAAAAGCCTGCCGTGCCAGATGGCTACACGCAGCAGCTGCGCCTGCTGGTTGCGTGCATGCTCCTGGAGCAGCGGCTAGCTCAGGAGAAGCGTGATGCTGCTGCTGCTGCCCTGACCGCTCTGCTTTCGTGACCACGCACACACTGCCAGCATGCTGGTGCTGCACCATCTGGCCACACTGATTCTGCCGTGGGCCAGGCCCCATGCCATATGCACTCAGGTGTCGGAAGCTCGGCAGATATTTCTTTTCTCCTTATTTATGAATTGTCCACTCAATCTCGCGATGCTGCCGCTGCGCACCCATCACCCCGCCCGTCATCTTTGCTTCTCAGCAGCTTTCACAGGTCACCGATGCCCACGCCCACCCTTCACTGAAATTTGGCACGACCCACACAGCTTCGCCGCTCTTCTGATACTCTCTCTCTTGCACTCCCCGTTTCCCATGGCCTGTTGCATTCTGCTATTCTTTTGGAGACCCTCCCTTTAACCCGCCCGTCCATGCCTTTCACCACTTTATCAACCCCTGAATGCCAGCCCTTTCACGGGCTCATCAACCTGCTTTGTCCTGTTCTCAGCAACTTCGGTGCAGCACAGAATATTTTCGCCATCAGCTGTCTGCAAGCGGGCGGTGGGATTTTCAGGCATGCCACCTGAACTCGAGGCATGCCACCTGAACTAAGCTATTCTTAATGTTTCCTCTCATTGTCCAGGCTCGTGCACGTCACATTTAAGGCTCGATGCAGAGACAGCTGCACCTGCCCACCTCTGCCATTCCCGACATTCACTACTGCTTTGGTTGCTATCCCAGTTCATTAAGAGCAACAGAGTCGTGTTCTTTTCACAAAGCCTACAAGTACTGTTGCATTGTGGCTGTGCATGACGACGGCGTCGGCGGCGGGAGGAAAGGCGGGAGTTCAAATGCATTGGGTGCCCGTCCATTCTGTTTTCTTGCTAGGTCGTGCAGCACTGCCCTGCCTGCCTAAGCAGGCTGACATCGCCGCCATGGGAGCGGTTGGGGCTCCCCCGCTGCGCAACGCCGATGGCCGCCCCATCCTGTGTGCTTTTGAATTGAAGAAGAGAGAGCTGAAATTGCCTCGCCTAGACCAAGCGCAACTGCGGGTGTCGTGGCCCGACCTGGCCTCAGCGTTCGGCGACACAACGGAGCTGTTTGTGCTTGACCAGAGTGGCACACCGCACTCGATTAAGGCCCATGTTAGCGTGAAGACCAGGGGAGAGGCCCGCCGGGAATTCTACCTGAGCGGCGTCGGTGAGCCACCGCCGCCGCTCGCGGCCGCTTGCTTCGGACCTGTTCTCCGCACTTAACCCCTGCGCTGGTCTGCACGCTGCAGGTGCATTGCTGAAAGCGCTGGGCGCGCGGCCGGGCGACGTGCTGGCTCTGGTCGGGGCACACGGCGAGGAGCTCAGAGTGGAATGCAACACAGCGGAGGCGCGGGCGGTGGCCGCCCACGACTTCAGCGACACAGGCAGCGGCAGCGGCGGCACCCAGCGCGGCAGCACGGCGGCGGCGCAAGCAGCCGTGGCACCAGCAGCGGCTGCGGAAAAGAAGGAAAAGGTTGCTGCAGAGACGGACGCAGCACAGGCCGTCGGCGCAGCAGCAGAGGGCGAGCAGGCACAGCAGCGGCGTGGCGCAGTGGTGGCCGCACCTCAGGGACCTGCAACCGCGGCTGGCAAGGTTGCATCCCGCAAGCGTGGCAGGCAGCCGCTGGCTGAGCGGCAGCAGCACCCGGAGCCCCAGCAGCAGCAGGAGGACAAGCGCCAGCCTCCACGGCGCAAGGGCCAGCGGAAGCAGCAGCAGCAGCAGCAACAACAGGAGCTGCAGGAGCAGGCGGGGGAGCAGCAGCAGCAGGAACGCCGGCCTCAGCGGCAGCAGCGTAGGGGCAAGCGGCTGGTGCCGCAGCAGCAGGAGGAGCAGCATTCAGGGGAGCAGGAGCAGGAGGCGCGGCCTGAGGATGCCAGCGCGGCACACGTCGTGGCGGCGCCGGCGCCGCCTCCCGCGCAAGCCGCTGCCAGCCCTCAGCAGCTGCAGCAAGGGCCGCTGCAGGAGCCTCTGGATGAGTCGCTTGGTTGGGAGGCAGTGGAGACCGACACATCTGATGATGACTATCAGTCGATGCTGCGGGACAACAAGCGGCAGCGCCGCACGCGCACCGTTGCAGGGACCCGCCAGATGCACTTAACCAAGGCGGCAGCTGCCAGGCAGGCGGAGGAGGAGGCAGCAGAGGCGGCGGCGGCGGCCGCTGTCGCAGCCAGCAAGCACGTGCGGCGAGCCGGCGGGGGCCGCGCCCCCGGCGGGTTTAGCGGCAGCGGCGGCAGGGGCGCGGGGTCCGCCCACCAGCCCATGGCGCTGCTGCCTGGGGAGGAGCCGCTGGGGGTGGAGCTGTTCTTTGGCGAGGCCCGCCCGCTGCTGCCTGGAGGCAGGCTAGGCCCGCCGCACGCCCACGCAGGTGCGCCGCCCGGGCTGGGCTGGCCCAGCGGCCCATGGCTGTGGCTGTGACTTGGTGGCAGGCAGCTGGTGGGATGGGTGTGGGTCCCTTGGCGTGCTGCGGATGAGTTGCAGAGGCCAGCCCACCAGCCCATGGGTCTGCCTGCATCGTGTGTGCAGGCGGCAGCAAGGGGCTGGAGGGCGCTGCACGCTACCGCGCCGGCGTGGATCGGGCCCGCCAGCAGATCAGGTGCGCCTTGGGCATGCCACCTTGCAATGCCTGCACCCTGCGGCCCTCCACCCTGGGTGTGTGTTGGCGGGGCTGCTGCCCCGCTGCCAGCAGGTCAGCGCGGTGCTGTCTCCAGAAGAATTTTGAATGACCGGGCCCGCATGCGGCTGCGTCCCGGCCACACCCGCGTGCAGGCAGCGCATGGTGGGCCAGGGCACCAGCGAGGACGAGGTGGAAAGCACGCTGCGCCTGCTGCGCAAGTTTGAGGCCAAGTGCCTGAGGGGCGAGGAGGCCACCCCGGCGCAGTGCAAGCAGGTGGGTGGGGCGGGCCAGCGCGTGGCTGCCGAGAGAAAGGCCAGTCGGCATGCCGTGCCTGCTGGCATGCTTGATAATGCCCTCGCTCCACCTCCGAAGCAGCCCATGCTCTTTCCTCCTGCCCTCCTTTTGTTCTTGCCATCCTGCAGCTGTGCCGCGACTATCTGCACTGCCTGCGGCGCCTGTACAACCTGCCCGGCCGCCAGCCGCTGGTTCTGGATGCCCACGTGCTCAGCGCCAAGGCGCTGGTGGATGAGGAGGGGCAGGGTGCGCCGTCGCTGCTGCTGCTGTCTTGGACGCTGTCGCTGCCCCCAGCGCTTGCCGCCACACATGCGGCCCGGCTATCCCTCCCACTGCCTGGCCGGCTGGTCACCGCACGCGTGGGTGTGATGTGGTGCGCTGTGGTTGTTTGGCTGTGGCTGATGTGTGCTGATCTTGCTGTATCAAGCGAACTCAACCTATGATGTCCCGTTCCCTTGCGGTGCAGACGCCCTGCAGCACATGCGCACCATGGAGCGCCGCTTCCTCATCTGGACCCCCGCAGACCTGCCGCCGGCCGACACTGCCCTGGGTGGCATGAGCAGCGGCGGCGGGGCCGGCGGCAGCAGGCCAGCCGCTGCTGCAGCTGCAGCTGCGGCAACTGAGGCGCCACCGCAGGCGGCAGCCGCTGGGAGCAGCATTCCCGAGGCAGCGGGCCGAGGCAGGCGAGGCGGCACACGCGGCAACCCGAACACGGTCGCTCGCTACCTGAGCCCCAGGACCGCCGCCGGGGCTGGGGCGGGCAAGCAGCGAAGGGCAGCAGCGGCGGCGCCGGTGGTGGCGGGGGCGCCTGCACAGGGGGAGCGCCAGGTGGAGGCGGCGGCGGCAGCTGCCCGCATCGAGCCGGCGCTGCCTCTGGAGGCGGAGCAGGAGGGCGAGGATGGCGATGCGACGGCAGCGCCAGCTGGCGGCGCCTGGGACCAAGGCCTGTCTGGCATCTGGGCAGAGTTCACCCGCAAGCTCAAGGTAGGGAGCGGCAGGGCTGGGCTGGATGGGACTGTCTGGGTTGCCCGATGCAAGGTGTTTCGGTGCCCCCTCGGCTGCCGGCTGCGCACCGCCTGGCGGCGGTGCGTATGTGCCATGGCCTGCTGCACTGCCTACCGCGCTGACGTGTGCGAGTCGTTTGTACCGCAGGGCAAGCGGTACGGCGACATCACCCTGCACACCACCAGCCTCCCCGTCAGCTGCGCCCTCAACGTGAGCTCTGCGGCTGGCAAGCCTGTCGCTGCCTTGCCTGCGTTGCTGGCCCCACGCGATGCCGAATCAGGCTTGGCCTGATGAGCTCGGCTGCCTGTCCCCTGCTGAAACCTGCAGGACACAGAGTGGCAGGACGGCCAGCTGAAGCGGTGCAGCGTGAAGCAGCATGTCAATGTGCTGAAGCAGGTGGGCAGGGGGTGGTGTGTGGGAGCAGGGGCAAACTGCCACCCATCCACATGTGCATTCCACGTGCTGCCCCTGCCCGTCTCCCAGCCAGCCTACACTCCGGCAGCCTCCCTCTGGCCAGCTGGCATGGCCTGGCCGCTGGCCCCACCTCTCCTCCCACGCGTCCACCCGCCCCCGCTCTGCGCCGCGCCGCAGATCGAGAGCTGCCAGCAGGGCAAGCGGCAGGGGCGGCTGTATGTGACCGACGGCTCCATGCCTGACTACCTTGAGCAGCAGCACTACCCTGTGGATGCGCCAGGTGGGAGCCGCCTGGAAGCTGGCAGGAAGCCGCTGGGAGCTGCCCTTGCTGCTGCGCTGCTGAGCTCTGCAGCAGGAGGGGCCACACGGCAGCTGGTGCTGGCTGGCTTGACGGGACCACCCGCGCCCCCTTGTGCGCGCCCGGCAGGCATGCCGTGCGGCGTGGACAGTCGCGCCAATGCCATGCTGCCGCACGCAGTGCGCTCCAGCCGCGCCACCAACCTTTTCCACACCCTCAAGGTTTGTGTGGGCAGCCGGCTGGCTGGCGGGGCCGCGGGGAGCCAGAATGCTCCTGCCGCGGCCGAGAGGTATCCGGAGGTTGCTGCAGCAGCATCCGGCCAGCGGCCCTGGCCCCTCCTCACCAGCCTCCATGCCCCGCCCGCACCGCGCCGCAGAGCGAGAGCACAGGAACCAAGACCTTCACGCTGTTTGGGCCCGCCGGCGGCGGCACCAACCTCACCGCCTTCCATTTCGAGACCAAGGTGGGGTGGCTGGCGCCCTCCCAGCTTTCTTCCCATTATTCCATTCAGAGGAATGAAGGAGCGTGGCGGGAGCCTCACTCCAGCACGTGGCTCCCTGCCCTGGCTGAGTGACCCCACCCTGGGCCAGCTGTCGGGCACTCACCCTGTCCCCGCGCGCACCTCCCCCTGCCCGTCCCTGCCTGCAGCGCCGCCGCTCATACAACTGCGGCACGGGGGACTTCATCATCCAGCCGCCTGCCACCCTGGCAGACATGCGGTGGGTAGGAGAGGGTTTGTGTGTGTGTGTGTGTGTGTGCCATGCTGTTGAGGTGGCCGGGTTGATGGGAGGTGAGAGGAGACATTAGCAGGCTCATGGCTGCCTTGCCACCCCACACGGGTAACAAGCGTTTGCCTCGACCTGCCTGCCCGCCTTGCCTGCCGTGCAGCAAGATGATGCGGGTGCATGCGGCGGTGGCGGGGCGCCACACGCGCCACGGCCAGCTGCTGCCGCTTGAGTGCTACCTGGAGGAGGGGGTGCCGCTGGTGAGGGAGGCGGGGCGGATGTGGAGGCGGTGGTCGGCGGGAGGCCAGCCAGGGCCTGCGTGTAGTGCCGGTGACTGGCTACGCCCTGCCGGCCGGCCTGCGGTGGCTGCCAACTTGGTAGCTGCCCGCTGGCTCCTGGCCCTTGCATGCCCCCTCCCGCATCCCACTGCCTTTCTTCCTGTCCCGCCCTCCCCGCAGGTGCTGCACCTGCGCGACTACCCCTTTGCCACGCTGTGCGAGCTGTGCGAGCAGTCCATGCACGCGTTCGTCTCATTCAACACAGTCGCCTCCACCCCCCCCTCACTCAAGGTACCTCCTGCATGCGCCGACCCTGCACCACCCGCCCGGTCAGGAGCTGTTGATTGGCGCCTCCGTGGCAGCGCCCGCTGCCACCCGCTGCCCGCCCTGCCCGGATCTCCTTGCCTCACCTGGTTCTTGACGCCTTTGCCTGTACCGCGTGGTACTGCTCCCGTACCACCAGGTGTCCTGCAACGACTTCGACCTGGTGTGGGAGCTGGACAGCTGCTACTGGATGGAGAAGGTGGCGGCGCTCTACTCGGTGAGCTGCCGCTGCCGCCTCACGCCGTCCCTCGCTGTGCCCCGCACCACCCCATCACCGCTCAGTGCATGCCTGCCCTCCTGTTCCCTCCCCTCTCTGGCCCACTCGCCCGTCTGCGGCCCTCCCCTCCCCACTGCAGGAGCTGGGCCTGTTCCCTGAGGAGGCTCTGCCGCCAGATGGCGCAGACACCTGGGTGATGAGCTCCTACCTGCTGCGCAGGTGTGGGGGTGATTTTGGGGGTGGTGGTGTTGTGGTGGCGGTGCAGGCGCTGGCGCGGGCTGCCTGGGAGGTCACATCCCGCGTCGGGGGCCTTTACAGGGTGCTGCTGCAGCCTGTACGTATGTGCCAGATGCGCAAGGGTGCAAGCGAACCGGCCCCCACACCCTGTGCCCTCCGCTGCAGGCCGCACACCCTGGCGGAGAAGCGGGCGGGCTGGGAGCGGCCCTGGCTGTGCGAGGCCGAGGTGTGCAGCTTGACCTGCTCGCTGCTGCTGTGGTCCCACCATTCCGCTGCGCTCAGGTGCCTTTTGCCCCGGTGCTGCATGTTGGGCGTCGCAGCATTGCCCACACCTGCCCATCTGGCCTGCGTGCTTGCCCGGCGGGCTGCAGGGTGCGCAGGGTGTTGGCCAGGGGGCCGGCGCGGGTGAGCTGGAGGACAGCGAGATGCACTGGAGCACCGACATCATCGCGGCGCGGTGTGTGGAGAAGTTGCTGGATGTGCTGGCAGGTGGGCGGTGTGGCACACCGTGTGCGTGTTGTGGTCGCTGGCGCTGGTGGTGGTGGTGGCGGTGTTTTTGGTGTGGAGGAGCGGTAGGGGACAGGCGCAGGCACAGGCACAGCAGGGTGGGGAGGGATGGCTGCCTGGCTGGGAGCGCTTTGCAGGGCCGGGCAGGGGCGGCTGGCTGGCCTGTCGCTCATTGGCTGGCCTCTGCCCTGTGGCCGACGGCCTGCAGGCGAGCTCCGGCAGCTGGCCAGCTGGGCGGGCGAGGTGCCGGATGCGGGGCTGGCGCTGCTGGCGCTGCGGCGCGCACGCCCTGTGCTGCTCGACATGCATCGGCGGGCGGCGTCAGAGGTGGGCGGGCAGGCCTGCCTTCCAGCCTGCCGGCCTGCAAGGCCTTGTCCCAAAGCACATTGTGCTGCAGCTGCTGCGGGTCTTACACTGCCGTCTCTTCGCTGCCCCACTGTGCCTGCCCTCTGCTCCCATCCACCTCTCTGCCGCAGGCGGACGGCAGCAGGCGCAGGCGCGGCCTCCAGTTCGAGCCCCGCTGGCCGGTGGAGTGCCACTTCAGCCGGGAGTATATGGAGGATCTGCTGGGGCAGGTGGACAGCGCCCTGGCCAGGTTCCCGCCAGCGCAGCCCGCCGAGCCGGCCGGCCAGCCGCGGGCGGCGGCGCCGGCAGCGGGGCAGACGCCAGGGGCCAATCGGCGGCGCCGCGCGCCGCCGGCGGCTGTGGCAGCAGCAGAGGCGCGGCAGGGCGTCGGTGCTGGCAGCGGCAGCAGCGGGGTGGAGGCTTGCCTTCTGACCGGCGAGGCGCACGCTGCGTATGCCGCCGGCAGCCAGGAGCAGCGGCAGCTGCTTGTGCAGCAGGCAGACGCGATGCTGGCAGCCGCATCTGCGGGCGGCCCCGCGTCTAGTGTCGTGCCCGCGCTGGCTGGGCAGGAGGCACACGTGGTGCGCTCGCACTGGCTGCTGCGGGTGCAGCTGGAGTGGGAGGCAGCGGCAGCGCAACCGCTGGATCTGGCCCTACTGGCCACGCGCCGCCAGCAGCGCAGGTGGGAGAGCGGGTGGGCTGGGTCCAGGCAGAGAGCGCATGCCCCAAGCAGCTCCGCAGCGTGTCGTGTTGGGCTGCCTGCCTGCCAGCCTTCCAGCAACCGTGCAGCCACTGTGCTGACCAGGCACGCCGCTGACCACCAACCCCTGCCACCCTACCTTCCCTTCTGCTGCCGCAGCGAGGCGGAAGCTCTGCTGGATGGCTGCTGCCGGCAGCTGGAGCAGCGCCACCGCGCTGACTGGGGCGTGCAGGGCTGAGGGCCAACACGACAGCAGCCAGGCACAGCCCCACCCCACCGTTGCTCTGCTCTCAACCCGGAAGAAAGTGTAAACCAGCCGTCACGGTTACACCCGGAACAGCTCGCTGGCAGGCACGAGCAGGCGCTCCAGGCCAGCGTCCCCCCCGGTCACTTCTTGTGCGTCGTGAAGCTGGACTCCACCCCCATGATGCTCACACTCTCCCCAAGCTTCTCATCAAAGTCTGCCCACTCCCTGCAGCCAGGCATGTGGCACGGGGCACGGGTGGTCAGCTGCCAAGCAGGGACATGGGGCCTACAGCCGGCACTCTGCCGGCGTGCACGAAAGCGGCTGCCCGCCGGCATGGGGCGGTGGCGGTGGGTCCTCACCCCTCGCTCAAGTCCGCCTCAAATGTCTGCCCCCCTCTGCTCTTCACGATGAACACCCCCGGCTGGTAGCTCACAGGCTCCAGCCCTCGGCACTCAAACCCCATCACCGGCACAAACTACAGCGGCGGCAGCAGGGGTGAGGCGGGGCACGGGTCGGGTGCAGCAACGGCCTGCCAGCCCATTGATGCGCTGTGCTGTGCTGACTCCGCGCCGTGCTGTGCCAAGCATGCCTGCTGCCCCAGCCAGCCGCCAGCGCCGCCATCCAGCCACAGCCAGGCCGGTGCACCTTGTCGGCATCCTCAGCCTTGATGTCTCTCGTCACGCCCTTCACCGCCTCCACATTCAGGTATGCCTGCAGCACGGGAGTGGCGGCAGCAGCACCGGTGGTGGGGAGGGACGCCTGGCAGGCTCGGCTGGGCGCGCCCCCAACAACCTGCATGGGCTGCACCTTCTGGCTTGGGCTGCACCTGTGCTGCACAATGGCGGCAGGTGCCCTCCCCTGCACACACCTACCCCCTTACCACACCACACCACACCACACCACACCACACCACACCACACCACACCACACCACACCACACCACACCACACCACACCACACCACACCACACCACACACACACACACACACACACACACACACACACACACACACACACACACACACACACACACACACACCGCACATGCGCCCTCCCACCTGGTGCTTGGCGCTGCGGTCCCACTTGAGGCAGAAGTTGGCTGTGCCGCGGCTGTTGTCCAGGTCGTGCTGCTCCCCCGGGTCAATCACAACCCCTTCCCGCACATCCTCACCCACGCTGTTCTTCACCTGCCCCAGGTGGGAGAGCCAGGTACGCGCAGGTAAGGATGGTGGCAGAGGGGTTGGCGGCTGGGCCCGGCGCGGCTTGCAACAATGCACAGGCGGCAGGAGTCGAGCCTGCAACCGGCATGCCCGGGGCAGAGCCGCACCGTCATGACAAAGTGCGCTCCCGGCGGCAGCGAGACCGACTCCACATTCTCCATCTCTTCCAGCTTGATGCATAGTAGTATGAACTGCGGGCATTGACAGAACAAGGACGTGCAGGTTGAGCGGGAAGCGGGCTAGGCAGCAGGCGGCGAACGCCGCCGCCGCCCCAGCGCCGACATGGACGGGGGTGCCGCCCAGCACGGTGGCGAGATGACTGGGTCACCACAGTCGCATCTGCAAGCCTCCCACTGCAGCCAGGAGACATGCGCCGCATGCCTCACCACCATCTCGTCTGCTGTCGGTCTACAACGGAGCCCGATCGCCGCCTTACCGTGATTTAGAACTACACAGCCCTGAGAACTCTGTATCCAGCGTCTAGGCCACGTGGCACAACTCCAAAACTCAAAAATCCCATAGCGCCTTTTCAAGTCGCACGCCTGCGCTTCCGGCCTCGGGAAACAGGCAGCATGAAGCTGCCACAACTTCTGACGCCGCGGGGCAGGAAGCCTAGCGCCAGCTCGCTGTCCCTGCCCCTGCCAGCAGCCGAGGAGCCTGCCGCAGACTCCCCGCGATCTAATGGCGGGGCCTCAACACCGCGGCGGCTGGGCTCGCTGCGCAAGCTGGTGTCAACCGCAGGGCGCTTGCTGACGCCGCGAGGAGGGCGTGCGCGCGGCGAAGAGGGCCAGCTGGCCGGTAGCCCCTTCGACAGCCCTCGCCCCGGGTCCAGCGACGCCCAGCGCACTCAGGCGTACACGCCCAGCCTGACGGGGCTGATGGAGCAGCAGTTGCGGCTGTCGGGGCAGCTAACAACGCCGCGGCGCCATCCCGCGCTGGAGAGCGCCGACAGCGACGCAGGCAGCGACACCGCCTCCGAGTCGGGCTCGGACCTCAGCAGCCTGGACGGCTTTGGGGATTATGCCCGCCGCATGGGGCCCCTGCCGGGCTCGGCGCCGCCGGGAGGCGAGGAGGCGTGCCCCGAGGGCAGCGTCGCCTCCTCCTCCCCATCAGACCAGCTGGACGACCTGCCGTGAGTGCCCCTCCTGTGCTGGCCATGCGTTGTGGTGAAACCGCTGAGCAGGCAGCGCACTGGCACGCTGCTCGCGGTTGCGCTCACACGCAACTCCCTGCGTCTGTGCCGCCGCACGCGGATGCCACACCAGCTACATCACTGCGCTTGCCCCGCAGGTCTCCCCGCCAGCTCATGGCGCAGGTGCAGCTGTGCTCGCCGCGCCTGACTGCGCGCGACAGCCAGCGGGCCTCCGAGGATCTGCAGCTGCTCATGCAGGTCAGCACTGTGTGCGTACTGCATGTATGCATGATGCAGCAATATCTTTCTATTGACACATGATGGAGCCATCGCGCCGCCACCTGTGCACAGGCTGGGGAGCTGCCCGCCAGCCGCCAACGCCTGGCGCGCCTGCTGGTGTTTGCGGATGGCCAGGGCGCCAAGGCCTTTGCAGGTGAGGCTGCGCTGCTGGCCATGCCTGGGACTGCCTGCCGCTTGCACCATGCCCACTGCCGCTCGCCCCAGGAAAGCTGACGCCGCCACATGCCAACCCGCCTCTCCCACCCACCCACCCCCGTACTGCGCAGGCCTGTCGCTGCACCACCTGGGATTTGAGCGCTGCGTGGCGCTGCTGCTGCAGCTCCTGCTGCCGCTGCCGCTGCACACGCGGTCGGCGGCGCTGGCTCAGCTGCAGTCTCTGCTGTCCAGCCAGCTGATGAGCTACCTGGGCAGCGGGCTGGAGCGGGTGCTGGAAAGCGAGCGGGCGTGCCAGGTGGGCCGCCTGTACTGCGGCGGTGGCTTGGGAGGCAGGCGGCGGCTGGGTCTGTGCAGCCCAGCAATGCTGCGCCAGCGGTTGTGCTGGCTGTGTTGCGGCTGTCCCCCAAACGCGAACAGTGTCCGCCCGCGACGCCCCCTTGCAGCGCTTCTGCCGCCTGCCCTTTGAGGTTGCCTCCTGGCTGCTGGAGAGTGGGCCCTGCGACCGTGGAGAAACATGTGGGTTGGCGGAGGCTTGCTTTCTGGTCCCACTCACACTTCTCCCGACTGTTTCAGCCCGGCCCACCTCCACCTCATGGGCTGCCTACCGACCGACATAATGCCGTCAGCTTCACTCTCGGTCCCCCTCCTGCTCCCCTCCCACCCATACTGCCTCAGTATTCGACCTGGGGAACCTGTGGCTGGAGCAGCAGCGCGCGGCCCCTGCGCCAGAGCAGCAGCGCGCGCTGGCGGCGCTGGTGTGGCGCCGCCCTCTGGCCGCCGACTTCCTGCGCTGCATGGCCGCCAACCTGCCCTGGGCCACAGACTATGTGGCTGCCAGCGGGCTGCGCCCCGCCCGCCCGCCTCCCTCGCTGGACGGCAGGTTCGCCTTCACAGCAGAGGTAGGCCCGTAGGCTGGGGGGGTGCAGAAACCGGTGGCTGCACGGCAGCGCCTGCTGGACTGTCGCTGCTGGCCGCAGCTGCCACATCGCACCTGTGCTCCGTAGCGCCTGTGCCCACCCACCCCCTCCCCTGCAGTTTGAGCTGCACGACTTTCTGGAGCTGCAGCAGGCGGCGGTGGCGCAGGAGCGCCCCCAGCAGCAGCAGTCGCCCGCCATGTACTGCGGCGGCTACTGCTGGTGGGCGGTGCTGTCGGCCAACCCGCGGCACAACCGCTTTGAGCTGTACGCCTCCTGCGCCCCCTTCTCTCTGTTCCAGGAGCCCTTCCGCGCCTCCCTGCTGCCGGCGGCAGGTATGCGAGGAAAGGGTGGGGTGGGGTCACGCCGGACCAGTGCCACTCAGTACCACCACTAGCAGCACCTGCAGGAGTGTGCGCAGCTGTGCCAGCGGTCTCACGCCGATTGCCCACCGCTCTCCCCGCCACTCTGCAGATGTGCGCTTCGCCTTCCAGGGCAAGACCTGCCTGGCCGACTGGCGGCAGACCAACGCGCAGCGGCTGGAGGCCATGCACACGCACTGGGGCGGGGCGGCCTTCTGCGCGCCAGCGGGCAGCCCAGCGGCGCAGGCCAGCAACAGCGCCTCGCCAGCCGCGGGCAGCAACCAGCACGCCGGCGCTCTGGGGCCCGTGGCCGCGGCCGCGCGGCCCGACACAGCCCGCGGCCCACGCCCCACCCGCCAGCCCAGCCGCCTCAGCATATCGAGCAGCGGCAGTCTGCCCACCGCGGCGGCGGCGGCAGCCGTGGCATCCGCGGCGGCAGCATCAGCAATGTCGCCAGGGAGCGCGCTGGGCAGCCTGGGGCGTGGCGGCTCGGGCGCCCTGCTGGCCATCAGCCCCGCCGGCAGCACTGGCAGCAGCGGCCAGCTGACGCCCGGCTACATCGCCGCCGACGACTCGGGAGCCCTCACCGCCAGGCGGGCGGAGCCGCAGGGCGTGCAGCTGCGGCAGCTGACCATGGAGCAGGTGGTGGGGGAGGTGCGCCGCTCCTGCCCCTACTCCTGGGGTGCCTCGCTGCGGGTGCGGGTGCACCTCAAGCTGCTGGGCTGAGCCCCGCGAGCAGGCAGGCTGCCGCTGGTACCGGTGCGCAGCCTGTGAGCGATTGAGTGTGTTGAATGTAGAGCCGAGATGTGCGTTTAGATGCCCTTGCCCAGTTTTCGGATCCCTGTTGCCTGTACATGCATAGACCTCCCCCGTACTCCCTACACCGTTGCCCAGCAGTAGCTGATCCTAGTGATGCCCGGATGCGAGAGTTGCCTACTTGCCCCTTCCGCCGTCGTCGCCCTTGTTTTGACCATTGTTTGATGATATCTGCCCATTGCCCAATCCCCTCGATTCCGACTCCATTGATTCGTCTCGCTGTGATCGCTAGATAGCTGCCGGGCTGCCGTTCAACAGCTGAAATGCTTGGGGGAGCGCGAGTCGCAGGCGGTTGGCGGCGACCTGACGGCGACGGCGGGAGCACAGAACCCAGTCGTGGCAACCCTGGCCATGATCAATTGGCACTCGTCCCGTCTCCCCAGGTGCCATGAGAGGGGTTGAGCAGGGGCTGTGGGCCGCAGCGCCCGAAAAAAGACCAAGCCCTGTTCCTGCGCTTGCCCTGCTGATGCGCTTCGAAAGAGGGTTTGTTTCAAGCGTCCCAGGAAGGCTTATCTCGTCATCATTGCAATGCTGACTTCCAGGCCCAGCTGGCGCGCGCAAAGACTCACGTCAGCTGGAACCGCGCTCCGCCGCATTTCGTTATTGATTGATTGCTCGCTCCATTGCCATTCCGGACACCGAAATTAAAGTAAAGCTAGCGCTGGGCCCTACTCGAAGCTACCACAAACTATGCTCGCTACGGCACGGCTGGGTGCCCCTCCTGGCACTCACCAGCCGCTCAGGAGAGATCAGCATGTCGTTCAGAGGCCTGCCCCGAGACATAGGCAGCGAGCTGTGCCTATTGTTTCACAAGACCTGAAGGAGCGGGCGAAAGAAACGGTGCCGGACGCGCCTCCAGCCCCCAAGGAGGTGAGAATTATGTGAAGCGCAGCAGCGGCAGCGTTTGCCTGTAGGGTCAGCTGAAATCCCGCCTCCGCCGCCGCCACCGCCGCCACCGCCTGAATGCAGGGCCCCAAGAAGAAGCTGGTGCCGGGAGTAGACCGCCCGCTCACGGAGCTGGACGTGATGGCCCTGCGGCCCAAGACCAAGCCGCACAGCATGCAGTGGCCCATGCATCGCAGCTGGCTGGCAATCGCCTGGTGCGTGGCGGGTGCTGCCGCTGCACAGCCGTGCAGCCGCCGCCGCCTCCTCCCTGGCCGGCCCTCACCGTGTTTGCCCTGCGATCCGCTGTGTGAGCAGGGACCAGGCTGTCGAGTCTGCGGAGGACATTGGGCGCCACATCAGCCGCGCCATCCGGGAGCTGCCCTCCACCAAGGCGAGCACACCAGGGCCAAGGGTCGGCAGGGGCGAGGAGGGGCCCAGGGGCCACATGCCTCTGCCACATGCCGATACACACAGGCAGCTCAGCAGCCGTGCGGTGCGTGCAGGCCTTTGACAAGCTGATCGGCAAGGACGGCAAGCTGCGCCTGCAAGTGGACAAGCCCGTGGTGCTGGTGCTGGGCAGCGGCTGGGGCGCGCACTCGCTCATGAAGGTGCGGCCGGGCAGGCCTTGTTCTGTGCTGCCTGCGTCAGCATTGCTTCGTGGCTGCCCTCACTGCCTGCGTGGCGCTGCAGCCAGCCAGCCGGCTCACACGCCCGCCGGGTGACTGCAGGTCATCGACACGGATACTTATGAGGTGGTGGTGGTCAGCCCCCGCAACTACTTCCTGTTCACCCCCATGCTGCCCAGGTGCTGCCAGGCCGCCCGCGCAGAGGCAGCTTACCCTCCTGCCACCTGGCTGCCACTCCACCCCCTGAAGGCTTGCCCCTGCTGTGCTGGCCTCCCTCCGTCGACAGCGTGGCCCCTCCCCCACCCCGCCCCCGTCCTGCAGCACCTCCGTCGGCACTGTGGAGTTCCGCTCGCTGCTGGAGCCCGTGCGGGTTTCCAATCCGTTTGTCAACTTTTTCGAAGCGGTGTGCGACAGGATCGACTTGGAGGAAAAGGTGGGCTGCCGGCTGGCATGGCATCTGCACCTCAACACTCCTCCTGCACCCTGGATGCCAGCTGCACCCTGGCGGGCTGGGCTGACGGCCTCCCGCCCCGCCGTGTGGCGGCGCAGGTGGCGCACTGCACCGGCAAGACGCCGTACAAGGACGGCCGCCTGCCGCAGTTTGAGATTCCCTATGATGTGCTGGTGGTGTCGGTGGGGGAGCAGCCCGCCACCTTTGGCACCCCTGGGGTGGAGGAGCACTGCTTCTTCATGAAGGAGGTGAGAGGCCTGTGGCCTGGCCGGCATGGTGGGCAGCTGCCTGCCACCCATGCCCACCTGCGGCTGGCATGTGTGCGACCACCT